ATGGGTCTCCAACAGGAATATAATGTGAAATTTTGCTTAGTATATCTCAAAAAAGTCATCTTTGTAAGCTGTAAAAAAAGTAAATAAAATGAAGAGCAAACAAACTGACCCTGGGGCTGGAAAGATGTCTACGCTAGATCTAGATCTAGATCTGTAAAACATAACATTATCCCATTTAAGTATGGTACTGAAACACAGAATTTTAGAGATGGAGGAACATTAGCCCTTGGTTTTATAAACGAGAAACCTGAGACTCAAAGACACAAAGTGACTTGGCCAAGGCAAAGCCAAGATACTTGTTAGCAGCCAAGCTGTAATAAGAATCCAAGTCTGCAGATTCCCTGTTCAGGAATTTAGTTCTGCATTAACTGAGAGTTTTAGCAAGTCAAGGATAGAGATGGTACCCTTGCGGTTGACAGATGCTGTTTTAGACTAAATGTAAGACACCTAATGTTTGTAGTGCATTTCTCCAATAGGCTATATAATCTTATATCACTTATGAAGGGTTTAGATAAATTTTTGGATGAAACATCCACAACAGATACATTCCACTTAGAAACAGGTCATACTCAAAATCTCATTTGTAAGTAGCCTGTTCAGAACTTGGAATACCTTTCCCTCATCAAAGAGAAGTAACAAATTACAAGCTTACTAAAGCAGATATGGTTGAAATAATATGAAACACCCTGAATTGGGCCCAGACCCCTCCCCCAGGAGTGGCTGGATATCTCCAGCAGAGGCTGCAAGTCAGGGAGAATTTCCTAAACCGTGGATTCCTAAGTCAGAGAGTGCTTCTATTAAGAATAATTTAAAATATCTAAAGACATAATTAACCTTTGGAAGTAAGGGTCACAGATAATAACCATGCCTCACCCCAAAAAGTCTCTTAGACATAGCAGTGGAGAAATAAGTGAGGTCAGAATGGTCTGTACCTGAAATCTTGGCATTTTTGGAATCAGAATTCAACAATTTTAGGGGCAGAGGATGAGTATAAAGAAAACCCATCAAGGGTCTATTCTCCCATTTCACTCTCAAGAGGTGACTCCAGTCTTTCTCCGATGTCTCCCCATATGTAGGTTCCTAGTTTGGGAATGATATTCTAGGTAGTGCACTACTGATGCTTACGCACCGGGAAAACTTTTAAAAACACTCATCGTAATGGCAATTTTTTGTAAATTTAACGTGGGTTTCTATAAATTTAAACTGACAGAGTATCGATGCAAGCAGAATTTGCAAATTTGGGGTTAGCAGTTTGATTTTCCTCGGACCTCCAGGCGGCTTCAGGTAAATTCCAGTTCCTCCTAAAACAAAGTCCCCTAAGTAAATTAACTCCTATTCTGAAATCTTGGCCTCAGGGCAGATGGTGGTGATCAAAGGAAGCTCTCAAGGTTAGGGGCTTTCTCCAACCCAAGAGGTCTCGCGGGGGAAAGTGGCTGGTTTGGGGGGCCCGAACGAGACTTGGCAGGGGGAGGCCCGGGGGCGCGCGCCCACCAGCCTGTTCTCGGGGACCCCGGCGCGCTCCCCCGCCCTCCCAGGGCCCTTCTCGCTCACCGAGGTGGCCGCCGACTACGGTGACGGCGATCTGGTCCATGAGCACCGCCCGGAAGCGCACGTCCTGCTCGGAGCAGCGCTGCCGGAGGGCGCGCAGGATCTGCACCTGCGGGTAGTCCTCACGGATGCGCCGGTCCGTCAGGAACCAGAGCTGGGAGCACATGGCGGCCAGGACGGCGGCGCCCGGCGCGGGCCCCCGGGGCTCCCCGGACCACTGGCTCTGGCAGGCGGGCGAGCGCGCGCCGCGGCTCCGCTCCCGCCGGTGCGCCAGGCGCCT